AGTTTTTATATGCGAGATACTCGAAAGAATTCCACAAGATATTGTGACAAATAATAAAAGAAAACCATCATCGTTCTCTAATTTTCGAATAATAGCAACTTAAACTAATTTGCTCATTTCCAATTTATTGGTAGATGTTGCACGTAAATGGTCTTCCTAGATCTGGAACCAATATTTCCCAAAGACCTATAATCTCTCAGAAGTGGCAATAGATTAACATTTATTATTGGTTTTTGACTGAAACGCATCTATATGAGTTACAGACATTTGACTATATTCTTCAACGAAATCAGCGTTAACGAAATAGTCAGAAGTGCGTCTTTCCTGTATTTGTGAATTCTCTAAAAAGTCACTGGAATGGACATTTTCGTATTTTGTCTACAAAAGTTGGCAAATTATTTCACACATTGAAATTCCAAAACTGCTTGGCTTTTGTAATGTCCGGTAACCCCCATTCAAATGTGTGTGAGGATCGGGCGATAATTACGACCTCCTGACAATTTTAGAGTTTTTTGGTCCATTTCAACCCCTAAATATATGGCGATCATCTCCAAAAAGAGTAGGCTTCTATTCTGACCCTCATCTTATCCCCATGCAAAATTTCGTAAGGATCGAGCCATAAATGCGATCTGTATATGATATCCTGATATCCTAACTACTTAGTTTTGTTAGCTGTAGAAATATTACCAAATGTTTAATTCAAAATGAAAATATGCCAAAAATATGACAAAATTGAAAAAATATGAGAAAATGTTACAAAATCAACGTTTTGATCTTTAGAGAGATATTTTTATGCAATTTTTTAGACGGGTTTTCTTTCCTGCCAAGAGGCCATTCTGAATTAATGAGAACTGTCGAAATCAGTTCACTCGTTCTCGGCATATATAGACATATATATCGCACATATTTTGCTATATATCCGATTTTTTGGATGTTAACATCAATCTAAAGGTCAGAAGTAACCTTGTCATGGCTTTGTGATTTCGCCGGGATTTAAAATATTCGCGGTTTAATGAAAAATGTTGAATTTTTTAAACACAAAAGACATGGTATATTTTACCCGCTAAATATTATCCGATGACCACCATAATTGGTAGGCTTCTTCCCCGCCCTAAACTCTAGCTACATGCGAAATTCCGTGTCGATTGGTCTATAACTGCGACCTGTAGAGCAACTAGAAAATCAAGAAATTTTTCAGTTTTTGGTCCATTTCAACCCCTCAATATTATACGATCATCTCCAAAAGAAGTAGGGTTCTATTCTGACTCTAGCCCCACCTCCATTCTAAATTTCGTGAAGATCGGGCCATAATTGCGACCTGTAGAGTGATTACAAATTAACATGGACAGACGGACGGACGGACATACATAGCTAGATCGACTCAGCTCGGCGAGCTAGGAAGATCCATATATACTTTCCTATGTGGGAAACCAATATTTCGAGGTGTTACATAATTTTTGGCCCAATCAAACTTATAATACCCCCAACACATAGTGTTGTAGGGTATAAAAATCCTCAGCAAATAATTCACAATTAATGTGGAGTAGTCCTTCAAAAAGTTTATATTGAGAAAGCCCACAGAAAACTATTATTTAAGTATATAGTAAAGAGTTAAGTGATGACTGCAATCAAAAAGTGCTAAATATTAATAATAGAATATGTGGACCCAAAAATCGTAATTCAGTATGAGGGTCTCCCATGGTGCGCTGTTAAAATTATATTAATTTTTTGGAATTTTTAATAAAAAGATAAGAAACATGAAAATGTTCTTAAAAGACCATGACTATAGCTGAGTGTGCCCATAAAAAAAATTATAAAACATAAATGAGTCCTTGAAAATGTTCGTAAGAAAGTCCGTAATTATGTCCTTGAAAAATCTACTTTAAAAATCCAAGTTTATAGTTGATTAAGCCCTTTTAAATATGTTTAGCAATCCACGACTATTGTTTGGTAAGTCTAAAAAAATCTTCTTTTATAAATAAAAAATCATGATTAAGTTGTAAAAGTCCTTAAAAATTCTTCTTAAAACAACCACGACAGCCATATTTAATGAATATAATCGTTCAACTAAAAAAAATACAGGATAAATCCAGCCGATTATGATCACTGCATCACAAAGTAACATCAATAAAGGAAACAAATGCCCCCTCTTCCAAACTTTTCGGATTAAAATTCCTCGGATTCAGTGCCTTTTAGGTATACAGGGTGATATGAAAGAACTACAACCAAATTCAGACTGCTGTCATTTCTAAGCCACTCGTCCGGCAGCTGTTAAAATTATTCCAGTGACAGCTCATTATATTATTTACAAGCGTACAAAGGCATTTTAGTGAGAATTTTCCAGAAAAAAGTTATTCGTGATGGAATTCAAGTGTGATAGTGTAATTTCTTTATATTTGGCTGGAAAACCACAAGTGGCTATCGTTAGAGCACTCCAGCATTTAAATGTGAATAAACCTTTAGTGTCTCGTACCATTGCTCGTTACCGTGAAGAAAACAGCAACATAAGCAAAAATGGTTCGAAAAGTAAAGAAGCGACTTGATCGAAAACCGCGTCGCAGTGGCAAATGTTGAAAAATGAGCTCGGGGTAAACCCATTGAAATTCCAAAAAGTGCAAGAACTTACACCGCAACAGAAAGAAAATAGACTCAAAAGAGCCAAAGAGTTGCTTCACTTGGCCGAGAGTGGTGAACTACCGAATTTGTTTATTTCCAAAGAGAAAACATTCGTTGTCCAGCAGTTTGTAAACAAACAAAATGATCGTGTTTACTTGCCAAAGAGGTCAGCTGAAAATGTTAACCTTCGGTTGGCCACCAGAACTCAAGCGTCGGCAATGGTGATGTTGTGGGCCGCCGCAACCGCCGATGGTCGCTCTCCGCTCGTATTAATCGACCGTGGCATCAGAATAAATGCCGAATATTATCGCGAAAATATTCTGGAGGGTGTATTTTAGCCTTGGGCACGCAAACATTTTGGCCACAGACCTCGGACATTCCGACAGGACTCAGCACCATCGCACTCAGTATGCGCCACCCAAAAATGGTTACAAAATGAGGTTCCTTGCTTCATTTCCAGTGCACAATGGCCACCAATCCGTTGAACTATTGTGTCAGGAGTATTTTGGAAAGCAATGTTGGCACTAAAAAATACCAAAGTGTCGAACACTTCAATCAAGCACTTCGCCGGGAATGGCCCAAAATACCGCAGATCAACATTCGTTTCATTCATTTGAAGGCCAAAATTCTTGCCAAAGGTGGCAAATTCGAACAAATCTAAACTTATTATAAAATTTGATGCTATTTCCGACATTTTTTGCTTTTATTCAATAAAATTAAAAAAAGACATGTAAACATTATGGCCTTTGACTTTGTTGCAGTTTTTTTTATCTCATCCTGTAGAGTCAGAAACAATTCCTTATTTTTTGTTTAAAACCACTTTACTTTACTATTAAAAACTCATTTTGAAAAATCATAGGATTATTGAGAAATACGACTTAAAAAGTCTTCCCCCAATAGTCCAGGATTACCATTAAGCAAGTCCATTAAGAATCTCCTTTAAAATCAACGATTTCTGATATAAAATTTACTTTAAAAAGTCATCTTAATAAAGCTTTTTAAGTTTGGCAGTGTTGAAAATTCCAGGGTAATTTCATAAAAAACTATAATCAAAATTAAGACCTTAAAATCAATTTTTTTATTCCAAAAATAAAGACTTCCCTTAAAATATTATTTAAATCTACGATAAGTTCTTAAAAAATCCCAATAAGTCTTCTCCAAAAATCCACGAAAAGCCTTGATTTTTTAAAAGAACACTATGGGTCTTTGAAAATCTTCCTCATAAAAAACATATTAAAATCTCCCAAAAAAATTCACAACAATTATGAACTTCTTAAAAAATCATTAAAAAAGTCTTCATGAGTCCTTTAATGTCCTCATATAGAAATCTAAAATTCTTCTTTGAGAAGGTGATTAAGTAAAAAATCTACTATAATCAAAAATCCATCCAAGAAGAGTCCTCATAAAGCTTCAAAAAGTTTCGATAAGTCCTTATTAGAAGAATCCAGAACTGAGATTGAATTGTCATTCAAAAATAACCAAAATTGCAGCCACTTTTTGTGGAAAATTGAAGGTAAAACTTATATATCCTATGAGAACCTGAAGTGACAATTAATTGGAAATTGAGTCTAACTATCTTTAAGATACCTAGAATCCAAATAATCGGAAAATATTGAACTTTTTTTTTGTAGAATGTAGAAAACATATTCAGCTCAAACGATTGTAAGTAGTCACTGAAAGAATTTATATATCAATACGAGGAGGAACCCTTTTATGTGGGCTATGCCTAAATGTGGGTTGATATAGCAAAAAATCCCTGATATAACTCCAGTTATTTGCTGAATATCAAAGTCCTAATTGAAATAATGTGGCCTTATCTTGACTTGAACAGACAGACAGACAGAGGCTAAATCGAATTTTTGCTGAAGAGAAGAATATTTAGAGAATATTTAAAAGTGTTTAAATCGTATGAAACGTGCAAAAATTTCTCATGTTCTACCAATAACTGACAAAGAACATTGTATGAGTGATCCAAAGCGAAATACTACTCAAATTTCACCCCTAATAAATTAAGTTATTTATTTACCAATTTGTCTTTGTGTGTGGGTTTTTATGTGGGGAGGCCACAAAACGCACTCAGAGACCCTCTCAATCACTCAATTACAAAGAGCTTTGCTCATTTAAACCATAACATAACATAAAGATGTTTGTATTGGTTATCGTCGTTTTTAGTTAGTGCTCTGGTTTTGAGCTCTCACAGTATGGGTGTTGTTGGGGTATCCAAACTCCACACACACACACACACACATACATGTGTATGCCATAACAATGCTCAACTCTTGGCTGTTTGTTTGAGAGCATGGTGTTCACTTGTTTGAGATTTGAAAATGAGCGAATGCTTTTTAGTGTTTGAATATAAAACCAACAAAGCATATCCGTTGAAATTCATTAAACGTCTTACTTCCACAGTTAACAGTGTTAACAGCGTTCAAACGTTTTTTTTTTTTAAGAAAAAAAAAATCAATACCTTTTTACCCACCCTCCCCATCTCGGCTGGAAGAAAATCAATAGTGTTTTGATTTTCTTTTCTTTTTCCGTCTTCTCAAAGTACGAAACCTCAATTTAATTTGCCATTCGAAGTGTGGTGTTAACATAAATTAAGGGGCATTTTCTATATGTTTGAGAGTGTTTGTGTGCTTCAACAACATTTTAAAATCTTTGATTACCACAATACCTTGTGAAAATCAAGAAGAAAAAATAAAAAAAAAATATCTAAAAAAGTATTCAAGAAATCAAGCCACATAAAAGTGTTTAAAAATATAATTTATTTAAATTGTTGAAAGAAAAATTTCAATTTAAAAATATAACAGCCCCCTTCCAAAAAAATTACAATTATTTGTAATTTAAGTGTTAAATAATAACCCAGAAAAAAAGAAAGAAAAATCAAATACAAATCTAATTACACTTGATTACCAACAAGTCAACTTTACCAAACTCAAACTTCATCACCCAGCCAACCAGCCAGCCAGCAGGCCAGCCAGTCAGTCAAATAAAAAAGAAGAAAGAAACCAACACACAATCATCAATATGAAATTTGTAAGTAATTGCTGAAATCAACCAACCAACAATCAAATGAAGTTTAATTTGGGAGTAAAATAAACTCTTTTTTTTTTGTTTACATATTTTTCTTGTTTTTGTTGTATTGAATTATTGATATTGAGCTATAAAATAATATGTGAATATATAGTTGAGCTGTGATTTAGTGCATAACACGTTTGTTGCCTAAGTCTTTTATTTGTCTTCCGAGTGGCGGCTATTAGCAGCAAGAGGGAGGTAAAATATGCATTTGTAATTGATGCATGGGAAACAGGATGGCAGAGTTTTAAGAGAGGGAGCAATTAAAATATTTTATGGTATTAAAATAAAAAATATGTCATTAAATGTAATATTAAAAAATAATATTTTTTATTCATGCCAATAGACAATAAACTTGAATTAAATAAATGTAGAAAACTTAAGAGTGCTAAAGACTCTTATGCTCAATCCAATTCAGGGCAAAGTGTGGCTAAATTGAATATTTAGGAAAAAATGCCAAAAAATTTTTTTCCAATTTTTATCAATATTTTTGGATGATATTATTGAAAACATGTTAGTTATGATACAAGAAATTATATTTAGGTTAATTTATCATTTATCTATTGATTACCTAAAATTACAAAGAAAAACTGCCTTCTATTTTTATATCCTACACCATAAGGTGGTCAGCGTATTATGCCTTTGTGCATTTGTTTTTAACAGACAAAAGGAAGTGAGATAGACCCATAGTTCCTTTGTGTGATCAGCATAAAATCACATTTTGAGTCGATTTATGCAACAAAATGCAGGCCGCATTTATTATTCGATTGAGATGAAATTTTCCAAATAATATTTGTATGGCTCAAGGACAAACTCTATTGAAATTGGTGAAAATTTTGGTCCAAATTTTGATATAGCTCCCATATATATCTTCATCCGATTTTAGGTTTCTTGTGCACCAAATGGCTAATATCAGTCCAAATGGTGTGAATTTTGGCACCATCAACCGAATTTAGTATAGAAATAAGTTCTTTAAATTTGATGAAAATCGGTTCAGATATAGCTATAGCTCCCATATATATATGTTTCATCCGATTTTGATATAGCTCCCATATATGGATATAGCTCCCATATATGGATATATCTCCCACATATGGATATAGCTCCCATATATATCTTCATCCGATTTTAGGTTTCTTGGGCACCAAATGACTAATATCAGTTCAAATGGTGTGAATTTTGGCACTTCCGACCGAATTTAGTAAAGAAATAAGTACTTCAAATTTGATGAAAATCGGTTTAGATATAGCTATAGCTCCCATATATATGTTTCTTCCGATTTGGTGTTTAAATCTCCAACTTTCGGAATAGGCACTCTACCATAATGCTTTTGTGTACCAGATATCTCATAGAGCTCAGAAATTGCAATATAAACCTTTCTTTTACGAGAGCTCTACTAAATATGCATTGTGGTGTAGGGTATCATATAATCGGCCCCGCCCGACTTTTGAGCGTTCCTTACTGTTTTTTTTTTTGGATTCCCAATTATGGATTATTTGAAAATATGACATCTTAAATCGTTTGCACGAGGATCAGTCTTTGCGAGTGATAAGGCTGGAATTTTTGAATATTCCTACTCAAAGGGTACGAAAAGTACTAAAATGTACAGAAAATTGAATGTACTAAATTTGAAATGAGAGTCACTGATGGAGTGCAGGATAAAGGTGCCAAAAGGTTATTGGAAATTCGATATTAGAGGTTACGAAAATTCCTAAAATGGTACTAAATTTCAAAATGGTACCATTTGGTATCATGTGATTTGTTATTGAGAAATTGAGAGAAGGAGGTAGTATTGGAAATAAGTACTAAAATTGTACGAAAAATACTAAGTGGTATTTAATTTGGTATTGAGCAAAGAAATGGGAATGGAATCGATGATTGTCCTTATATTCATAAAAACAAATGTTCATCAAAATTTATTGGTTAAATATTAAAAAAAAAATCACGATATCTGTTTACAGACAATTTTAATTATTCTACGATTATTGTCTTGATATTCCTTGGAAAAAAATATTTTCTGAATACCTTCAATCGTTGGCTTTTGTATTTCTTTAAAAAAAATGTTCCTGAGACTTCCACTATTATTGACATTATATTTCTATATAAAATATTCCAATATTCCACTCCACGATTGTAAACATCAGTAGGCCGTTCAAAAATCCACTTTACTTTAAATTGCAGATTATTCTGTTAATATTTCAAAAATATTTATAAAAAAATCAGGATTACTTTCTAAAAATATTCTTCTATAATTCACAATTTTACCTCAAAACCTTCAAAAATATAACTGATCGGCGGCACCTTAAAAAATATTATATTAAAAAACCTATAACCTGTTCGAAATAATCTTTAAAATTCCCTGATAATTGCTTCAAAAATTTTCCTAACAAGTAAGCAAAGGCTATAGTCGTGCGGGGCCGACCATGTGATACCCTACAACACCAAAATATATTGGAAACCTCCTTAGGTCTAAACGCATTTACACTTTATGTCGTGCTGATACCTATTTCACACAAAAGTGGTCCATTTTTCCCGCTAACCATAATTCACGGATCGTCCAAAATGTCTACACTTTTACGCTATCCTAACCCCTAACGTTGAGCAAAATTCCGTGTCGATTGCTTTTCAATTGTGATCTGTAGAGCCTCTTCAAGATCAGGAAAGTTTAAATTTTTGGTCCATTTGATCCCCCTAAATATATATCTTGAAAATCAATAGGCTTCAATTCTGACCCTATTTTTATCCAAATTTCTTGAGAATCGGATGATAATTTCGACTTGAATATAATAATCCAAAAACATAGTGTTATATGGTGAAAAATATTAACAAACTTAAAATTCAATATTGTAAGTCAAATATAAAAAAAAATCGCATGCGATAAAAAATATGACAAAAATATAAAAGAAGATATTCACTTTTTTATTGACATATTTTCATGCGATTTTCTTATGTTTTATCCTTTTCTGTCAAAAAGACATTCCGAATTTTTGAGAAATTTCAGAATCCGTCCAGGCGTTCTTGTGTTATAAGCGGTCTATTTGAAATCCCCTTCATTATATATGAGATTGTAGATATTTTGCTATATATACGATTTCTTGGATATGAGCATCAAAAGTGGCATTTTCGTTTTTCATTTCATTTTTGCATTTTCGCGGTTTAGTGGAAATTTTCTTATTGACATAAAAGCTACAGTTCATTTTACCCGCTAAATATTGTTCCATTCCATTCAAATCGATAGGCTTCTGCCCAGCCCTAAACTTTAAATACATGCAAAATTCCGTCGATTTGGCAAATATTTGTGGCCTGTTGAGCAAAAGCAAAATAAGGAAAAGTTTATGTCTTTGGTCCATTTTAACCCCTTAATATTTTGCGATCATCTCCAAAAGCAATAGGCTTCTATTCTGACCATAACCCTGACCATACAAATTAACATGGGCAGACGGACGGACGACATATATAGCTAGATCGACTCAGCTCGGCAAGATAGGAAGATCCATATGTGGTTTCCTATATCGGGGACTAATATTTAGAGGTGTTACATTATTTTTGGCTCAATCAAACTTATAATACCCCCCAACACATAGTGTTTAGCGTATAATTATCTTTGAAATTCCCTGATAGGTTCTTCAAAAATATTCTTAAAAATTAAGATTGGTGGTTTTTGATTTTAAAATTTTTGAAAAAGCATTAACCACTTAACGTGCTTGCTCAAAAAAAAAAAAAAAAAAATATTACAACTTCAGAGAATATCCTAAATGTAGAATTGTTATTCCTCCAAAAATGTTCTCTAATAATTCACCTTGATATTAATACAGGATCGATGGTCTCTGCAAGAAATATTTAACAAATCCCCGATCAATGGCCTCTTTAAAGCAAAAACAATCAGCAAATAAAGCAAAACAACCAGAAGTTTTAAAATTTTTCTTAAAAAAATATAGTTTTCAAAAATATTTAAAAACAGGATTTTAACATAAATAGTTCTGCAATATGATTTTTAAAAGATCGTAGGTTGTTATCTTGGATGTTCTCTAAAAGAACGCGGTTTTACATGCACATACAATCATTGAAAAAATATTCGTAGAGAACCCTTCATTAGTCTTTATTGAAATTATTTTTGAAAAAAATATAATTCATCTAAAAATATTAAAAAAAAAAACAATATTGCATATTTTGTAAAAAGTCCTTTGTCAAAAGAAAACTGCTTGGAATTTCCAAAAAAAAAAAAAAAAAATTCAAATGATTTTTTCCACAAATCTGAGGAATTTTCATCTAACATCATGTTTACATAACTTTCTTTTGTTACTATGAGAATGCGTTTTTTTTGTTTGTTTGTATTATTTAATAATTAATAACTTCCCATAACATTCAAAGCTGACTACATTTTCACATACTTAGGAATTTGCCGCCATCTGTCTACACATTCAATTTTTTTGTTCGAAACTTTAATCATATGATAATTTATACTACTGCAAGATATAAAGAGATATTTTCGCTTTTTTAAACAAATTGCCACAAACACATGCACAATGGCTGACAAATAATGAAAGAATAATAACGAAAAGAAAAATCAAAGAAAAAATAAATAATCATAAAAACGCCACCGAATCGAGTCAATAAAACGTAAATCTTAATTGTTGACTAACTCGTAAATCTTCAGCACTTCACCAGCCATGAGTCTTGACCACATATCTTTATTGGCTGTGTGTTTTGAGCGTTTTTTTTTCTCTCGATTTTATTTAAACGCAACTATTAAGTCATGAATAGAAAAATACGATCAATTAATAAAGCCTACCACTAGCTTAGCTACAAAAATAAAAAAATCCACAACATCAATGAACAATGTACGCACATTTGAACGCAAATCTGCAGAAGCGGAGATATAGACAACATAAAAATAGAATTCATAATATTGCCTATGAACTGACACAACTGGCAAATGCAACTGACTAGACAGTCGTTGT